TTTAACATACAGACGTATTTATGTAAATTATGCTGTTCAACGCGCTGATATTTAAGCGCTGTCTGTTAAAGGATGCTGTCTGTTGATTTTAAGATATATGAATGTATGTTTAAACAGCTGATGCTGTTAATTGTGACTACAATTAACTAAACACCTTCATTTTCTATCATTATTGTCACATGGATTTTACAAAATCTGTTTAAAACTTGTAGCATTTACTGAAATTGAATTGAAAACTAATCACAAGTCTTATACCGATTTGAACTATTGACAGCTTCCGTTATTATCTCCCACTATTTGCTTATAAAATCATTCAATGACGTACTCGTTCGGAAAGTATAGGGTGTCTACTTGTTGAGCAGCTCAGGGCTTATTTGTTTCACATTTAATTGGTCCTAAAAAATATCGCAGATCAATTTTAATCAGTTTAAACAACAATAATTTGAGCAGGGTTTAATAATAACAACAATTTGGTAATTGAATAACAAAATTTGGACACAAACGAAACGCGTTTGGCTAACTAACTGCAACTAAAGAACCTCTGGATATAATTACAACTGTGAAGCTAAAATATGGAATCGCTGTATGCCGGAATGTTTGGAATGACACGTTTGCGTTTCCCATTCCCCGCTCCCCGCTCTCTATTCCACTCACCCATTTTGCTCGCTCCGATGTAGTTGGAAATGAAATCCAAATTAATTAATTTAATTGCAGTCTGAACTTTGGCATGAGAGCAAGGGAATTGCCACACTGAGCGGGACACGCAGGTTGCCAGACAGTTACAATTGCGCATGGCGGGGTTTTAAAGGGGTATTTCGAATTGATGAACATAAGCCATTGACATCATAGCATTACTACTCATTGATGATCAGCTGATGACTATGTTCAGCTATAGAGTGATATTTAAGATAGCCCGTACGAAATTTTGAAATATGTCAATTATGTTTGCTGATGCTCTAGTGTGACTCCATGATACTCTGGATAAAGTCTCAAAGTATACCAAGCCCGATGCTGTGATGTATCGAACTCAAGATTTACTTTAAGCTCTCCAGTAGAAAGCCTATTTTATTTGGTTTGCTGATTGTGTAATATGACTTTAAGAAAAGATAAGATAGATTTAAAATTTAAAATTGACTTTTAGATAGCCTATACAAAGCATTAGTACTAATATTCCAAGCCTTAAGGTGAACTTGTAGTTACCCTGTGTGTTACAACAATCCAATCTTTTTACGAATTTTAGCTTATCTTTGTTGAGTCTTACAGTTTTTAGCATTTTATTATTTATGAACTACAATTATGAACTCCTCAAATGGTTATATATAAATATTTGGTATATATTGAGCCGTTCTATAATAGTTTGTTTCAATCAAACAGTATGAATACTGCTTGGAAAGGTGGTTCAGTAATAGATCGATGAATTCCTTTACAAAATGCCTAACTAGCTCAATTTCAAGGTATAACTGCATATATGCGGAAATATTGAGAACATCTCACACGATAATACCCTGTAAGAACCCAAAAGTGGTGGGTGTCTTGGAAGCTTTGCTTACTGAAACAATCTTAGCCGTTGGGGAACTATGTCTCAATGCAAACCTTGTTGATTAACAGCTACAGGGTATCTAACAGCCTGTCAAGCAGCAAGTGCTTATAAGTACGTTCGTAACAAAGGCCAATTAGCACTAGCTTGCGAAATGAGATTGAAAGAAAACATAACGGAGATGCAAATAGCAAAAAGTCTAAAAATATAAAAGGAAAATAAACATGCTTATGGAAAATAAGTGCATAGCTAAACAGCTCAACGATATCTGTATATAGATTCTATATCTGATTGCATCTGGTTTCCACTCACTTGTGTACTGGTTTCTTGGCATTGCCAAACTCATCGCTGCTGTCGTCGTCCTCCTCCTCCTCCTTGCTGTGATGCGGATTGACATGCGGAATGGGCAGGGCCGAAATCGTTGTGGGCGTGCCAATGCTGGAGGCGGATGCATCGTCCACGATCTGCAAAGGAGTCGGAAAATAAGATATGCATATATTAGAATTATATATGTATATCTATATATGTATATATAGTGATCTGATGTTTCTTTGGTCGGTTTTTGCTTAAGATTCTTTAGTGCAACGGTGCGTATGTGTGCTTTTCCTAATGCATATCTATAAGACGCAGTTGGCTGGCCCCGTTTCCTGCCTACATCTGTCGCCGTCAGTGCAAACTGGTTTGGGCCAGTGACCAACCAAAGTGGATCAGTTCAGATCGCTTCGATTGGCCAGTCGTACCAGTAGTACCTGCCTTGCTGCCCGCCGTTGGCCGCGGCACGTCCTTGCTCATCGCCAGGGCGCACAGGAGCCGACCGGAACTGGCTGAAGTGAAGTTGGCGAAAAGAGTGCAAACTGAGCTCGCTGCGCGTAGCGTCTGCTGCCTTTGCCGGCTGCTTGATAATTGCTCGAGTTTTGTATTAGAAATGACGAGGGCTTTGCTTTCAATCTGCTATCTATTGGTGTGAGCGTGTGTGTGTGTGTGTGTGTGTGCATTGGTATGCGTTTGTTTAATCGGCCGACGTCGCGCTTCATGGGGACTGCGAGTACTCGTTGCTGACTGATTAATTACAGAGCTTCGGCTTCGCATTTCTCACACTTTTATTGTGATTCTCTCTCACTCGCTCTGATCGAGGGCAGTTCAATAAGCAATCGAACTGACTACCCGACAAAGAGCACAACATAACCTCAATTTACTGTGATATATATGAATGCCATATGTAAACGTGTTCATATCAAGTGTTAGGTTGACATGCTTCATGCTGATCAATTTAGTATATGAATGTAGCACTTTCTAGAAAGGATATTTCATATATCTCTCAGCCGACATGCTACTAATTGGTATTCCTTATGCTTTTGCAGGCTTAATACATACATATGTACATATATCTTATATCATATATCAATAAAGCTTACATTAGCTTTTAGATTACATATTAATAAATCCCCTACAACTGACATTCTCATCTTTGTATTTCTTAAATGTTCTATCTTTTCACTCGTGGGCATTCACTACTTTGATGGCGACCCTCGCTGTGGCATTGCACAATGGCGTCTGTTTTAGATTTTGATATGTGCCGCGAAATTCGCTGCGACAGACTTGTAAATTATTCAGCTCGGCGTGCGCTATAATTATGGCCGACTAGATTTAGCATTTAATCTTAACTACTAGCCGTAAATTACATTCTATCGGCTTTTGGTCATTCGCTGCCCATCCGCTTAGCTGGCTGCCACCTCGACCATCACATACTATGGTATTCCCAATATCTAGTTTATGGCAACATCAATATATTATATATAAATGGAAATACATGTATAAGAAATACATATATATCGTAGATTGTCATATTTTCCACTATCGGTGTTTCCCTTCGTTGGACTGACTTAGTTCTGTATATTAATCGTCCCAAATAATCAACCACATCCCAATTGGGAATACATCTCATACATACTGTCCGATTTATTGATGGAGACTTGGGCGCCTTTTTCTTATGATTTTAGGCATTTTTAATATCCCTTCGATATAATAAATTTCTTTACCCATTCACACATATCAAATTCGATGCATTTAGTCATTCGACTTTTGGATCTTTAAATGTAAGCTTATTATATATTATTGAGCTCAAATTTTTTATTTGGAATATTCATTTGATCTAAATATTTTTTCAAACTACTCGAAACTATGCTTGAAAATGAGTCTATTATTTCCTCTTTTTTGGTAAATGGTATCACTCCTGTGATCGTTCTCAATATTGACGTTCAGTGGCTTAAGCAAAATACCACAGGCTCTGTATAATGAAATACATATAACGTATATACACCCAGGTCAAAAATTATTGTCGTTCCAATAGGCGGCAATACCTGAAAACATCCAAAGCTTGCTGCCCACTTTCAGGCTGATTTATAAAACAGGTCGGTATTCAGAGAGAGTAAACGTAAGCTAGCTCCAATGGTATATCACTGATAATTTCCGTAATGTTGAAAATAAGCACAGAAAATTTCATGTAATTTATATTATTGCAATTAAGTAGTAAAGAAACCTATATTTAACGACTGTAAATATGTAAAATATGTGTTTAATATTCTCGTGCAATTAATTGTGTAATTAGCGTAATGCAATATTCCATTATGTGGTTACGCCGTATAGGCAGAACGGGTTTGTTCGACTTGACATGGCTTTTGGCTTAGATATTTGAAATGAATGACGAGATACATACATATATATGTAGTGAAGACTCTGACAAGATAGAATCACAAGTAAGGCGTTTTGCCACCTTTAGCCAATCACTGGGTATCTAGGCAGTCGCCTACTCCTGTTCAGCAATCAAAGCGTCGACTGTTTGCAATGCAAATTAATTACGCTTGAAGTGTAAACATGAGAATTGAAATGGCAAACGAAAATTAGATGAACAACAATAATAATCAGATTCAAATAGATCGATGAGAAGAGCTGTCGGATGCTGCATCACATCTATTTGCATAGAGACGATACGTGAATGTACATAAATGTAGATTTTTGATGTATGTAGATTTTTGTGCATGACATAAGGCAGCTCTCGTTCGACTTTTTCGAAGTTCTATGCGAGTGTTTCAAGTGCTTTGAATGCTTTGTTTTAATACATGCTCAATTTACGTATAATTGGGCAAAAATACCCCGTGGCCAAAAACTCGTTTGCAAAATCGTAAAATGAATCAACATTGTCGCATTACTGCTTGTCGCTCTACTCATCTGTCCCACTCCCACTGTCCCTGCTTCTCTCTGATCTGCCGGCTACTCACGCTTTCCGCTTGGCTCTCCTCGTTCAGAGATTCCTGCGCCAGCATCTGGTGGCGCAATCGTAGCGCTTCCAAGTCCAGCGAGTTGATGCCCTGCGGCAATGAAATTGAATTGCGTCGCAGTCCGGGTCCAAAGTGTTGTATGTCTCTGTCTCTATCTCTGTCTCTTTCCCGCATCGTCTCCAGCTCTTCCGGCAGCTCATTGACCACATACAGCTCTGGCAGCTCCACATTACGTCGCTGGCCGAGAGATTGCTTGCGCGGCTGCTCCTGCTCGCACTCCCGCCGCCTATGGTCTGCCTCCTCCTCCTTCTTCTGCTTCTCCCTCTCCTTCTCCTTCTCGTCCAGCTCCTCCTCGCCCTCCACTGGCTCGTCCGCATAGGGCAGCGCCTGCGCGGCCAGCAGCAGAGGCGACGCCGCCTCCTGAGACATTCTCCCGACTCAACTCGATTCACGCGCGTTCAATACACAGCTGGGAATGCGCGCGGGGGCTACGTACGCGCGCGTTGGCGTCCAGGTTGCGACTCGTTGCGGCCAAAGCGTATGCTAAATGCCCCAAACACCGAAAGAGCCACTCCCCACTGCCCCCACTCTAACCAGCTCTCGCGCACAGCGCTGAGAGCGCGTCGCTTAGCTCGGGCGGTAGAGCGCGAAGGGTTATCGGCCATAAAGCCGACGTCGATTGTGTTTGACTTTAATCAAACGCTCTGCTTATCGTTATCATTATCATTAAAATCATCATCATCATCATCATCATAGTTATTGTCGTCGTCGTCATTGTCATTATCAGCATTAGCATGTGGTAAGCCGATTATCGGCATGGGCACTGATTACACATACGACGCGTTGTACGCATCGCTTTCAACTAGGCCGAGCGTGTTTATTAATCTGTTTATTTGCCGTGTTTCTTGATTCTGTTAATTAAATTCGGCACTTGCTTAAAAAACGAAATAAATAAAAACAAATAGAAAAAAAAAACAACCTTAAGCAATTTACACAACTAATTAAGTCACATTATCAAGCTCTACCTCTACGTCTCTCTCCCTCTCTCACTCAGTTCTCAGCTCAGTTTCTCTTGCTTGTTTTGCTTCTGGCCTTTGGTCTGCTATCAGCAGCTATAAAGCGTTTAATCAACATCTCGTGGATAGCACCAATTGATCAAATATTGGCTATTAGCGCCAAACGGGCTTTCCTGGCATTTTCGCTTTTCCATAAGATTATAACGATAGTCAGATAGTCAGAACTACATCAAAAATATGTCCATGTATAGCAAGGATCTCTTCGTGGTAACTAAGAGACACCATAATCATATGTAAGGGGAAAAACTCTTATCGAGCTGCCCGACTAGAAGATACCTTGAGCCCCGAATGATCTGTGTTTTGAAATATACGTATTTATGTGTTTATTAATGTAGTAAAAACTCTAGTTATAAAAATGTTCGAAATAATTAAGTGTGTTTCGCGTCATTCGAACTCGCACCTTCGCAATCAAAAAGATAATGAGATAATAAAAACAAAGCGCTCAACATCGGTGGGTATCGAACCCACTCCACAAACAGCTCCATTTCGCTACTCAAGTCATTATTTGCAAATCTGAAGCTGATTCGCAATCAAATCTAAACTAAGAAATCGCACTTCTGATTCAGAGAAAACGCTGGAATGTACTTTCGCTCATTGGCCTAACGGATTGTTTAATAATATCTGTATTAGTCAATAGATATTGACCTTCATTTGAAACTTTAGTTTTTTTTTACACTTTTTTAACAGTCAATACTGTATTACAATTTGTTCAATTGTAATTGTTACATTCCGTTACATTCTACGCCACATTAGCACACATTTCTTTTGATTTGTGATCATAATTCCAATGACATTTGTTACCCATGAGCAATCGCACCTGTACCACCCTCCCTTCACTTCCCACTATTTCTATCCCCACTCGGCAATCAGACGATAAGTTGATTAGCTCAATGGGCCAATCGAGGGCGCAATAAAATCTATTCGCAATATTACGGCCATAAATTGCGAATTAAATTGGCTGAGAAATGGATTCGCATACGTAATTATGACCAAGTAAGGCGACTCGGCTCGTGTAAGCACAGCAAACGAGACTCAGCTTCGCTCCAAAGCCAACAGCTGTGAGGCCATTGTAATGCAAGGCACAGCGCTTAGTCCCCCACTCTCTCCCTCTCCCTCTCTCTGTCAGTTGTATGGCTTCAACTTGCGCCCAGATGTTAATATTAGATAGATATATCCGCCATAGCACGTGATCTTGGGAGATCGATGCAGATCTACATTCCAAATTTCAGCTTTTCTCACTCTTCAACTAATATGATTTCTGGCATATCGGAAAATGCATTTTCCGTTATAATGGAAACATATTGTCAATCTTTTTTATTTACTTATATAGTGTATAGTTTAATTTACCATTCTCTTTAAAATTTTTTTGAAAATTAATATTTTTACTGTTTTTATTTCGCTTCAAAGCAAAAAATTAAAATTGTTCCCTGTGTGAAAACACTTTCTTGCCAAACTGTACGTACGTAAATAAGCATTACAGATGCCGAAAACACAGGCGTCCATTGCAATGGCTCGCTGGCCCAATGTGCATTGACCATTCCTTTGACATACATATATAGTACTCATTTTGGACACAGTATTCCAAAAAAATATGTAGATTTTTTTGTTATGTTGCTTTTTATGGCGCTTACTATTGAAATTTTCTGATATTAACTTAATTTTTGTTAATTTGGAACATTTGCCCTATGTCTGTTAAATTTCCGCCAAGCCTCAGCTGGAATAACAGAGCACAATCTAAAATGTGACGTCACAACAGAGTTGTTAGCTAACATTTACAGTAACGGAATTGCTTCTTGCGCAACATAAAGTGTACTTTAACAGTGACGCAACATAAAATGTTTTTGAACAGTGACGCAACAAAATAAAATGATTTCTAACAGTGGCGCTGCCTACTCTGTTGTTTCTCAGCTCAGTCTGCTTCAGAAACTCGTTGAGAACAGACCGGCTTTGGCCCGGATTTTCTCTTTTTACTGAATGTTTTCTTTTTTTGCTGGTTTTTATATTTTTAATGAGGAGGAGAATTTACAATTTTATTGTAATATTTCTCTTTTATTTACCCTCAGTATCAGCCATTGAATATGTATAAATTAAGAGAAATATATTTGTATTCTCTTAAACATCTAAAATGGGAAACCTCTCAAAATGGGCGTGAAGAGGTCGTTAAAAACCATTTTTCATATATTTCTTACTTACATATGTAAAAAGAGACGAGAAGTATTGATACGCAATCAATTGTCATACTTTTCATTAAATCATAGTCGATGTTGCTTGGACCTTTTCGTATTTTTCGGGAGTCCATCTCCATAAGTGAATTATTTTCATCATCAGTCTTCTTCTCTTTATTAAATTATGTGAGCGTGGTGTCTCTTAATTAATTTGACGACCGTACTCCCATTTTGACGCCAAAAGCTACTTGTATATTGTCACCTCACTTTACTGTGACAGTTTACTGCGCCAATACATTGCATTCAGATGCATCTGAAGAAATTATTAAATTAAGTCAATTGACTGGCTAGCATAACGTACACAGCATAGTCCATTGGTGGACGATTCCTGGTCATGCAGAAAACTTAAATTTTCAAAATACCATACGTTTGCCTAGTAGATATCTTCTGCACCGGCACCTGACTTTTCGCTTCTTTATTTTTGACAGTTCGTTCTGAATGAAACTCGTAGAGAATTTACCTTTTTGTTGACAACAATTGTAGCGTTTTCGTATACCTCCTTATATTTTAAGAGCAATTTTTCCCACGATTCATTGCGCAAATTTGTATTTGTGTAGTTTTCGCTTTTATTTTGCCGGCTCATTTCTACAGCTCATTTTGGCACGTCTTAACCCAGAAATGTTTCCAGAAGTGACATTCGTAACATTTATACTTTTAACTTATACACTCTAAATTAATTCTTATCTGGGATCTTTATGTATCAGAGAAATTTGGTGGGTATATAAGATGAATAGGTCTTGAGTGTGGT